TATAAGTAACGACCTGATCATCTTTTAGGTAACTCTTTCCGATTTTTCCAACTTTCTCCGTCACTGAAATAAATGTACAATATATATTATTAATACTACACACTTCGATGTATGTATTATGTATAACTCTATATTTTTCATTTGATGAAGATAGCCAACTCTAGCGAAAGATGCTATCCCCATAGCCAATTCTAATTAGAGATGCATTATCTTTATAATATTTTTTCCTGTAATGAGATTTCGATAAAGCCTAAGTATCGCTCCAGGCTAAGCGCAATCGATTTGTAAGGGATTGATTAGAGATTTTCGTTAACATTCCGAACAATAGACAATTCATCTACAATCTAGACGAGAACTATCGCGTTTGTAGTAAAGCTTAAAACGCTCCTTTAAGGGTAAGATTTTATACCTTACCCTTAAAGCTGTTAATTGGTTGCATCAATTGATGCGTCTATAACATGCAAGCGATTGAACCTTAATACTAGCGAGTGTTCATAATGTTTAAAATGTTTGCGATAGATGCTATAGTTTAACGATTATACTTGTACCCCACAAATAAGTGTATTGTAAGGGATTGAAAAGAGATGTTTGTGGGGTTTTTAACTTTACTATAAACGCGATAGTTTTCGTCTAGATTGTAGATGTATTGTCTATCTCTTATCAATCGCTTACAAATCAATTGCATAAAAATCAACATTTTAAACCCCATAAAAAATAACAACATTGTGGGATAAAAGGCAACGTCAATTATAATATATTAATAAAAAATTTAAGTAAGCCTTTCAAACACGTTAATAAAATTATTACGATAAAAATCAACTTAAAATTCCAAGATAATTTACGGATGTGCGTTCTATAGATGACTATACATTTCCAATACACTAATACCATAGTATTATATAGCTATGAATTATGATTGCCCGAAGGCAGTACATCTGTTTTCGAGCGACCCCCCCAAGATAACTATACATATACCTCGTACCAATCTTGCCTGAAGCTAGGGAAAGTCGCAAGGCGTGTTTATGGTCGTTATGTACATGGATTTTTACAATGTAGCAATCAATTTGCACATAATAAAATTTAACTATATAACTGTGCTTTTTTTGGTAGAATGTAGGGAAGATAGATAGATGGTTAAGCCCCTAGTTGTTGCAGCGGCAGGTAAATCGTTTAAAAAAATTAAATATTTAGTAATGAAAGATTTAAGTTGGCAGCTGGTAGATAGTACCGGTGACCCTAGAGCTGGTGCTTTCCTCGCTCAACGAATATGTATCACAATACAGTGAGGAAATGCTACCAGCGTTAAAGGTATACTGCCACAGGGACCAAACTTTTTAAATTTGTTTTAATTTTCTTTTTATTAGTTTTTAAATATTTAGTTTAAGGTGGTAATTATTATCGGAAGTAAAAAACGTAACAAAACCAAAACTAAAAAAACTGAATGTCTAAATCATGATTTATTCAAAATCTCGACAAAGCCAGAGACGTTGTTTTTTTTATAAACATTCTAAATGATTTTAAAAGCAGCTGCTAATAGCGGACACGCAAGATGCATTATTTATGTTTTTGTGGTTCCCTTGTATCTCAATACAACGTGATTAACAGAAAAAAACCTTAACCACAGACACCTGGCACTTAAACCACATGAAAACATCTTGATAGGTACTCGATATATTAAATATATAAACAGAAATATTTCTTTATTATAGCGTAGCATAACAAGGATAATTGCTGTCAATTAAGTAATTTAGATTAAAGACTACGTTTTTTAGGTCTTAATAGCCTTAAATCAATACTTTAAAAGGCCGGCAACGCACTCGGGACCCCTCTGGCCCTGGCCCTCTGTTAAGTGTGTCCATGGGCGGTATCACTTAACATCAGATGAGCCTCCTGCCCGTTGGCCCTCTGTTCTTTAAAAAAAATCAGTCCTTTCCTAATCGGGTATTTCATTCAACTTGTGGACCGTGTTTTAGGTAAATAATAATTTATCTCTAATAAGACTAACGAACTAGAATTTAAGCGCGTCAAAATTCAATACGTTTCTGATATAAAGAGGACACTTTAAATTACGGAAACTCTGAAGTCTCTTAACACTGTTGCTTTTGTTTATTTACATTCATTTACAAGAATTTTGTTTATTAATCATAATATTACAAATATTTTCGAACTGGTTTGACGTTTCGCGTCCTTCACCTACCATGGCTGTTGCCTACCACGATTGATTGTACGATTACGTATATTTAAAATACTATACATATACAAATGGCGCTCTAAAGTTTTAGGGTCTGGGCTTCAGATATCTGAGTCTGTTACGTGATCATTGTATTAGGAGAGTTCCTCACCATGTTTTCCTTCGGGCGAGTGTTTAATACGCACATAGACAGAAAGTCCATTGGTGCACAGCCGGGGATCAAACCTACGACCCCAGAGATGAGAGGCGCACGTTGAAGCCGATTGAAGGCGATTACTGCTCCGAAAAAATCTATATTTATTTTTATCCTAAAAAGCCAATCTATAATAATGTTATACAATAAATGGTTGTATAACATTATTATAGATTATATTTCAAAACTAAGCTAAAATCTAAAAGCTAATAAATGACTACTATTGATACTCATCAATTAAAAAAAGCTATGTAGTGTTAAATTTCAAAGATTGTATAATTTGAATGAGATTTTGAAGAATGCGGAACCTTTTAACAAAAGTGGAGCTTTTTAATCCGTTGACTTAGTTTATACATTTAAAAGCTTCCAAGCGTAATTTTACAGTCAATTACCCTATAAAATATTATTGTTATGTATGATAATATCTTCAACATTTCAATACACCCTTCATAAATGTTTACCAATTTCAATTTGAAATCGGCATTCATATTATAATTACTATATTTAGTTAAGCAATATTATGCTTTATCAATATAGAAATTAACGCCATTTTTATTTTGATAATTGTTTGAGCTGTTCAATATAAATAAAACTTTTTTTTATCGGATATAAGCAATGGCGTTAATATGACATTGCAATAACAACTAATCACGATCTCGAATTAAATCTAAATATCTAAATAATTATTTTTAATATATATTATATATATATAAATAAAAATTAAATGTAATATATTAATAAAGTATTATATATATTTTTCTACTATTTTTTTGGTCTAGTATTTTCGTAGACTAAAGACTAGTTTAATAATAATATTTATGTAGTATTGTTCACTATACCAAAACGTAAAATTCAGTTTTTAAAAGACGCGAAACATATGTTTCTTATTACGCAAGAAGCGTCGATAAAGTCTATACATCATAGCTGTAAATACCTTATTAGTTATATAACCTGTGGCCGTAATACGCTCCTAAATTCGTGTTCATAACTCGAAATTCCCTGCCTAATAATGTTATTTTTATTCTACCAATAAGCAGATCGCGTGACTTAAGCGAAAGCACTGAAAAATTTCCCGCACTTCTCATAACCGTTATTACCATTACATACGGTTCAGTTTCGTATGTTTCCGAAGTGTTTTAGGAAAGTAGAAGCATGAATTATGGTGTTCAGTACGTCATTGTCCCGAAAGGCATATGATCGAGTGCTTCATAATGGTTGTTCGCGATGGCTTTTGTCTATTTGTCTAGTAACATTATTTGAAACTTAAGTGAGGTCCCCTCCGTGGAGATCACAAATATTTATTAACGGCAAGTTTTAGCTTCCAAATATAAACATGATTTCTATTGGAGAATCGTTGATGTTAGTAGAATACCATTAGATATCCCAAACATCCAAACAATGTTTTGGCCAAAATTCACCGATGACCAGATTGAGCAGTCTGGTTAACGAGCTGGATCTGGATAGCCATAGTTGCTCCCCTCACACTTAAGCGATTTTCGTTTAATGTTTATTTAAATTACATTATTGTTTTGCTTAATTTCTTTTTATTATTTCTTATATGCTATGTTTGCCTGTAAGTGCTTGACACATTAAAAAAATTATTTTATTTTTCTTTTATCAATGTATCAGTGTGCCGAGCGTTGGCAAGCTTTTATAAATAAATAAATACCAAAAAACTATGTGCGGTCTAAAAATAATGAACGTAAAACTAGCAGTATTGACCTTGTGGCTTTAGCGAGTGACTCTCATCCCTGAGGTCGTAGGTTTGATCCCTGGCTGTGCACCAATGGACTTTCTTTCTACGTGCGCATTTAACATTTGCTTGAACGGTGAAGAAAACCATCTTGAGGAAATCGGCTCGCCTTAGACCAAAAAGTCGACGTAGTGTGTCAGGCACAGGAGTTTGATCACCTACTTGCCTATTAGATTGACTTATGATCATGACACAGATACAGAAATCCCAGACCTAAAAAGGTTGTAGCGCCACGGATTTATTTTTCATATTTAAAAACTTACGCCTTTGGTTAACGCGAGTACTACATTAAATAAAACTTGGAGGCATATAAACGCGTCATTATGATTAGGTACAGTATTTACATAACTCGATGTTTCAAGTGGTTTTCAGCATCCATGGTCATCGAGAGACAGTCACATGATGTCTAATAACTATTATAAATAGAGTATATTGTAAAGTTAAAATTAACGCCATCTATTGTCGCAAAGTTAGTAATTGTAACATTTCGCGGATTTTACAAAGAAATATTGTATTTCATACATAAAAAAAGTGTGCACTAATCGTTGAAAATCTTATGAAGCTTTTTCCCGAATGTTATTACTATTTAGGTCATAGAAACATTACGCATTAAATTGATGACAGTCTTTCTTTCTGTTCCTCTGGCCTAGGAAAAAAAAGAGATGAACTTTTTTGAAAAGTCTAATAGCGATATTAAAAGGACACTCTGCTTATTTCCTATCTAGAATTAAATTATTATTCTTATTAGGTGAACAGTTAACATGATATTAAAGTGAAAGATACGATTTTTTAAGTTTAAAAATGTGTCAATTATAAAATGAAGTGTAGAGTTCACTTTTCTGGCCAATGAGATTGTATGGAATATGGCACGGCAGAGGCCGACTACAAGGCACTTTCATAACCAGCCTGAGCTGCGCCGTGGAGACAGTTCCGGGCTCATGCTGAGATGGATCTTCTTAGGCTGGCTGGCCAGCTGTGGGCCGCTGGGGAACACCGTAAAACAAGATGGTGAGTTAATATTCTAATTTTCCTATGAGTATTAAGTTTGTCACGTATTTTTTACATTTAGGAAAAATATTATATTTTATATGATTCGTACATTCATAATTGAGGTACAATCGAACAGGCGAGTCACTTAGAATTCATTGAAACCGTAAACATTGGCTTATTTTAGTGTAAATTAAAAGTAATCGTGAATAAAGAACCTATGTGAACATAAAAATTTCGAGGAAAGAATTCTCTTATTTTATTGTCATACATTTTTCGTTAACTAGGTAATTCCATTTTATTCGATAGACGTCAAGTGACGTCACCAGAAGTTACTGTGCAAGATCCTAGTCTGTGTAAAATTCTGAATTTTGGCAGCCATTTCCACTGTGACTTAATCGTATGAGTTTGTGTCTCTTTGATTCGTATTTTAAATTAAACGTCTTATCACAATGCATTAAGTTACCGTTTTTATTCACCAAGCACAGATAATTAACAAATATGGCCTGCATTAAGGAGTTTATTTTAACCACAGAGCACCTTAATTTTGTTTAAATAAATCCTCTTTATACATGTTATTATTTTTCGTTGCCAACCGAAACGGAGGGCTAGACAATAGTTACAAAAAACAGTCTTTTGTCTCGCCAACGCCCCTGACAGCAATTAATGTATTTCACCTTTATGATAGCTTGATAGAGCTATATAGCTGCCCAAAAAATTCTGCGCTTCATTTGTGTTAACTGTCAATTTCAACTGTCCTAAAATTATATGTCTATCTAATAGGCCATTTATGTTCATACGTAGTTACTTAGTCGATGTTAATAAAAATCTTAATAAATTGTTCTTTAGCGGTATTTATAAGTCCCTGAAGTGGGCTATTAAATAACATATTATGTCTTTGTTAAATCATTAAGAATAATCTGTTGTGGTAGCACGTAAATTTTATTTTCATTTTACGAGAACGACTTGAAATATGACTTATTTAATTTTACTTCTCCGGAAATACACGTTTGTGGCAACTTCGTAGCTTTTATAACTTCCCAGACTTCTAGATTTTAAGAAGTCTTAAGTAGCCTGGTGTTGTAAAAAACCTAAAATAACCTTAAAGTTTTTTGAAGACATTCCAAACCAAATTATGATAGTATTGTCTTTGATTAACATAACTTTTATTCATTTAATAAAACACTATTTTGACCGGATTGAAGTTATGTATTATTATAAATTTACAACTATTTAACATAATTTTAAATTTATCCGACGTTTCGCGTGCTTTACAGCGTGCGTGGTCAGTCTTCAGTCACCGTGACCACGCACGCTGTAAAGCACGCGAAACGTCGGATAAATTTAAAATTATGTTAAATAGTTGTAAATTTATAATAATACATAACTTCAATCCGGTCAAAATAATGTTTTATTAAACAAATTATGATATCTAAAACCTAAGGACATATGACTGTCAAAACAACATACAAGCTTACTTTCTCTTAAGGTAAAATATAGCGTCGTGAAGAAACGGAATACCCTAGAACCAAAGACGGCTTGAGTCAGACACAGAAGGCACCTTCTTGCCTATTAGAAAAAACAAATGATGACGAAACAGACACATAAATCTCGTTTAGAGATAAAAGGTTGTAGCGCCACTGGTATTACACAATACAAAGTAATTAAAACAATTATAATTCAGGAATTTAAAAGTAAGTTCTGTCTTGTTAATACATATATGTAAAGGTTCAAAACTTAGAACAAGCAAACCGTCAATTTTTGCGTCATATTGGATAATATAAAAAATATGCTAAATGTGCCCTTAGCATCTGAAGAAATCGCAAGTTCCGACCTTTGTGAACGACTCCGTAAATCATCGATGTCGTTAAATTATGCGTTATGATTGATATTCCTTCCAAGTTGACATTACGCACTTTGAAAGATGTGTTAAAATTTGGTTTCTGGCATAGATGTAATACACAAACTAAACTGTGATGCCTTCATAATTAAAAAGATAAAATTTGTATTTTCTTTTCAGCTACTATATAAATATGTTATTTAATTTTGTAAAAAACATATGGAAGCAAAATATTTTTTTAATAAACGTGTCCTCCGAACTCGAGGTCATTGACCCCTCAAAGGTCACGAACCAATACCCTGACCTATCAGCTGTTCATTCAATATATGTAGTAGTAACGAAATAGAGATGTCATTCCTGTGGGAATAGGCTCAATACAGAATACTGTTACATATTAAGCCTTAAAAGTTCAAAAGGTTCTAGTTACGTAGTATATGCCTCTAGTGCAATACGTATTACTTGTTGGCCCGTTGCTTTGTTGCGCTCAAAGACTTCAATTGAAACGCTATAGATCTGAACAAGCTGCCTCGCTCCGCTGCTCCTAATAAATTGTAACTAGGTTGCTGACTGGGTTCAATTAAAATTCAAAAAAGAAAAAATTACTTTGCCACGATTGAAGACGCTAATTGCATTGGGGAAAACTAAGTTATCCAACGATTGTGGCTTTTTATTTTTCGAAAATCGATTTCTTTTGTTTGTTACTAAAGCTTCGTAGCGATGAGTACACGTGAGATTAGATATTATACATGACTATCATTTTATTAATTATTTATAATTATGAATAAACTTTTAAATATTTTTCATTTAAATTCGTTCTTCAGTTAAAATAATACTTTCAACAAAAGGCATAAGGGCCAATTCCTAATCAAATTTAATTTAAAAAATCTATAGCTCTAGTTTTGTCACATAATAATAATTAAAAATTAATAAATAGACAATTAAAACAAATTTAAACAGTTTGGTTCCTGTGGCAGTGTAGGTAACTTTAAAGCTGGCAGCATTACTTATTAATCAAATATTTAATAATAATATTTTTTTTTTCAATTTCGATAATCTTGACTTCCAATATCACCTAAGTTGGCTACAACGGTGATAAACGCAATAATATTAAGGAATACAAAAACATTAAAGTAAATGTAATAAAGTCCTGTACATTTAATTTACAACGGATGTACATTAATTCTAAAAAACCTCATCTTCTAACAGTAAGTTAATTGTTTCCCCAAAGTAATCAAGTCTGAATTAAAATCTGTAATAGGCCTTAACCTGGGAGGGAGGAATGACAAAGCGTTTGTCATGGAGTCGTTAGGGAGGGACATCACTCAGTGTGTTTCCTTCGCTAGCGTTGCTTGCCAAGCTAACAATCGAAGCAATAGTACTCAAGATTGCTGGAATTAGTAGGGTGTAACTTATGCCATGTTTAACAAGGTTTACCTATATTAGAGTGAATCTGATGTCTCTTCCAATCTGAATAGGCCAATCTGTATTTCTATTTGAAGACATGAAATAATTTAATTATTATTGACGTGTGGTAGAGTCTTAAGAAGGCTTTATAGTTTGAATATAAGTACATAATATTTTAACAGCCTTTATTTATAATAATATACAATAATGAAATAAAAATAAATCAGTGGCGCTACTACCTTTTTAGGTCTGAGCCTCAGATTTCTGTATGTTTCATGATCATTTGTAAGTGTAATGGGCAAGTAGGTGATCAGCCTCCTGTGTCTGACAATCACCGTCAATGTTTTAAGGTCTAAGGCAAGCCGGTTTCCTCACGATGTTTTCCTTCACCGTACGAGCGAGTGATAAATGCTTATATAGAAAGAAAGTCCATTGGTGCACAGATCGAACCTACGACCTCAGGGGGGAGAGTCGCACGCTGAAGCCACTAGGCCAACACTTCTCAACTGTGTACGTACGATAATCTAATATAATATCGTACATACACAGTTGTTTGGAGCCTCCTCTTAAGCATAATTCATAAGCCAAAACCTGTTCTTATACTAAAACAAAATTTTTATTTGCCTTTATTACAGGTACTTGTACTATCTTATACTTTCATATAAAGAAGACACATCTTTGGCCCATTCGTAATCTTTTACTATTAAAACCAGATCATAAACTCTGCATAATAATTTTGTAGAACATCAGAAGGCTGTACTAATATTTTAAAAGCTTAGCTAATATTCAGGTAGCGACTGATCTCAGGGGGCTAATTCATTGATGTATCATCCGTATTTCTGTTATAAAATAAACTAATCAAATTAAATTATTCCCTTGAGTATATAAAACTATTATTATATAGCGATTACCAAACATGAGGTCGTGAGTTGGAAACCTGGATGTGCCCTAAAGGTATTCATTTCTATTGTGGTATATAATTTTCTTTTACTATTTATTATGAAGTTAATAAAAGCATTTTAGTAAGTATAAAGTTTTTGTTTTTAAAAGAGTTGCAGCAGAAGACTGCTTTTTCTTTTAGGCACTGCTCGGTTAACAATTTAACTGACTTTAAATTTCAAATTTTTTAACAAGGTAGAAATGTTATTGCACGTTTGCCACATTCGCACATAGCGCTTAGATGCAGGGCTGTGTGCTTATCTATAAATCATGTTAATGATGAGGTTTGAATATTGATAAACATACATAAATATGTCCCCAATTAATTAAATCATATACGTCTTTACACATATGTATTAATTCATAAAAAAACTTAAAATACCTGTTCTCAAAATACCTAGAAATGCCTGGATATATCTTAATATAATAGAAATATAAATAAATATCTTAGAAATTACTAAGCCGATTTTGTTGAAGCAACAGTTCGTGTTGGAAATTTCGATGAATTTGTGTAATATCCAATTCCGAAAATACAGTAATAATTTTTGTGAGTCGGTTATCAAGTCCTTGGTGATTTGATTTTGTTTTAGTATCCCTGTCTGCATTACGATTACGTTTATATAAGGTTTCTAAATGGAGTCAATAAGTCGATTATCAAAGCTTTGTGTGCCTAGAAATACTTGAACATCTAAGAAAATCTTTTATAAGATGCTTTGCAATGTTAACAACATTCTTTCATTATCTTGTTTGTTATGAGATGAAAAGATGAAATATATGAAGATATTAAAATGTTTTAAAAAACCTTTTTATTTAATTAATAACTTAATATTTGAGATATTTTTACAAATGATGCAACCGAAATATTTCCAGGTTTTATAAGCACCACCTTAATGTTTGGGAAACTTCTACAGTCTGCTTCTCTTGGTATTTTCTCTTGTGAAGCGAGCTGTAGAATTGACTTCTAGTGGAGGTCTTTTCTAGGAGATACGACCTCCAAACAAAAAAGTCAGTATTTTTAAGGCAGCTGCCTTTTATGGTCTCTCCCTATGCTAGTTTCCATATCATATTTGAATTCTTTATAACGATATAGTTTGTAGCTCGTCGATTAATTAAAATAAATACAAAAAATAGCAGTAATGTGTAACCCCCTATTTCAGGGTTTTGAAGAAAGTTTTTGCTATACCAAAACATGTATCAATTTAGGAGTCAGTGATTAATGACGCTGTTTATCAATTACAGTTGTCAGAAGCACCTTGGAGGGTGAAATTTCAAGGGGACATAATGGTTACTTAAGATATCTATCGTTTATTTATCTCACAGCCCTTATCGCAGTATATTATTTATTTATACTTTATTACCTTATACAAAAACATACATATAAAAAAAGAAGGTTACATTGGGTTACGGGCGGCCTTATCGCTAAAAAGCGATTTCTTCCAAGCAACCCTAATGTGGAACAATAAAAAAGAAACACCTACAGAGCGTAAAGTACAAGAAGTGCATTAAGAATTAACAAAAAAAACTCAAAATAATACGTAACTATAACTAATGTAAAATAAAGTAAAATCTAAGAAAAAATAAAAATAATAATACAGAAAAATATCTATAAACAAAAATCTAAATGCCAATCAAAAAGTTAACTGATTCTTTTATATGTTTTGACAGATATATTTTAAGTTTTTGGCAAATCAGTCTGCTCATATAAATATTTTTTTGTTTGTTTAAAACCTAAGTACAAAACCACGGATAGCGTAGTAGGTATGATAGATGTCCTTGATCATTTTCATTTGTTTATAGGCAAGTAAGTCAGCCATCTGTGCCTGACACTTACAGTCGATTTTCGGGTGTAAGACATCTCGTCTATCCTACGTTGCGTTACTTTCTTTTCCAACTTAACTCAAAACCAAAGACGCTGCAACCTTTTAGGTCTGGTTCTCAGACTTCTGTATCTGTTTCGAGATCATTGGTGTTTCCTAATAGGCAAGTAGTAGCTTTCTGTGTCTGACACAAGTTGTCGTTTTGGGTCTAAAGCATTCTGGTCTCTCGATGTTTTTCTTCATCGTTCGAGCAAGTGTTAAATGTGCACATAGACAGAATATCCATTGGTGCACAGCCAGAGTTCCAACCTATGACCTCAGGGATGAGAGTCGCACACTAAAACCTCACCAGCGCTAGATGATAACCCTACGAATTAAACAGGGCGTGGTTTTTCGGAAATATTGACGGAACCGTTTAAACAAACAGAATAGAAAGATATTTTCGAAAATAGAACACCGTAACGCGAGGCTGTACTAAACTGAACCGATAAAACAAAAGAAAACTAACAACTAAAATTACAATTAAGTTTTACATAATATCGAATGTAAAGTAATATTAACAGTTCATGTTGCATATTTGTTCCGTTTTTCTCTCAGCAAATTGATAAACAATCTATGTATTATCAATTTAACAAGTAAGCTTTAATAAAAACATTTAAGAATGAACAAGTACTGGGATGTTTATTCTATATTAAGAGAACCTCATTTACGATAGCATTATACGATTGAACTTACAATACAATTGAACTTTTAAATGGTATTTTCATTTTTCTTTCTATTATTATCATTTTTCTAACACAGAATAACTTGTATAATTAAGACAGCATATTTATGCCAGAAATGTAACTGTAAGCACTGTCTTGTAACTGATTTGTGTAAGAATTA